GATGAATACTTTTTATTGTTATTGTCCGTTCTATCACATTTGAGCACAACCGCACTATGTCTGAGCATACAATTGACATATTGATTGATATCTGAAAAAAATTGCACTTTTTGAAAATGGAAATCATACAAGATTTTGTATTTACAGTCTTATTAAACCCTTTAGAATGTTCAGCAAATTGTTCACCAATGAGATGACATTTCTGGATGATGGCTAGAATAAAAATAACTTAAATTTCATAGAAATAAAATGCATACCATAGTAATCAAGGTGCTCTCTTCAAAATGAAAAAAAAATACATGATTTCCAAACAAGGTACATTTATACTACTGATAACAATAGATGAAATTATTACTTCAGTTAATAGAAAGCACAAATGATGATAACAAGAGTAGATTACTTTTGTTTGGTAAATCAGATTGAATTATTATTGCCCTGCACAAAGCCCAAACCCCCATACCATCATTCGGTAAATGGGCAACATTATAAGCAGTAGTTCCTATTGTGTGCAAACAGACTTTGTACTATTAATCAACAGTTACGGCGTCAATGACAAAGTTAACCATCAACAGAAAAAGTGATTTTTCAAATCCATACCATTTAAAACAATAGATAAATATTTATGGCACAATATAACAGGTTTCTTCATCTTCATTACATTCTCTGATGAGTGGGAATGGAATACACTCTCTTCTACCACATAGCAGCTGTTTTGGCGGCAAAAGTGCTGTCAAGGAAATAAAATCTCCTCTGAAACCTTGAGAGATAGCCCCAAATCATCAGTCTATAAAGCAAATACATATTCACTTGTAAGCTATGTTCATCATCTCATCTCACTCAACAGCTGGTAACAGTAATAATGGGTAGAAGTGATTAACAGCCACCAGGAATTAAATCAAGAGCTCATAAAATTTCCAACCACCATAAAAACTGTCATACACATGAAAATATTCCAATTTGCTTGGATACTGACAGTTGAGAAACAAAATATCACACTTAGACACTCATACACTAGACCTGAATTATTAAAATTAAATAGAGCACAAGCAGAGTGCATTAACACAAAATTCTACAAATCAAGCAACAATCTTAAAGGTAAACACAGCACAAAAAGTCTACAGACCAAACAAAGAATTAACTTTCCATTTTTAATTAATGGTAATTTTAACATCTAGGTATTTAAGAAGGCAACAATAGATAAAATTATGGGTCAACTGTTCAAAAGGAAAATTAAAAGCCATAAAAAAACATTATTAAGTTATGACAAATGCTAGGACAAATGACTGCAACACATATTTCACAGAGCCCACCTGTCCCATACAATTGATATGCAATGCATCTTACATATCTGAAGAAGAACAACAGCATTGAGATTTTGAAATGTTAACATAGTCAATAGAAGAAAAAAAAAAAAGACCTGGCATTCTAGAGAACAAAATTGGTTCTCAAAAATCAAAATAAAATAAAGAGAAAAAAATCATTATGTTTGTCTATTAAGACACAATACAATACCATATATCACAAGAGCAACATGGATTTATGCCAAGTTGCACTACAAAATCTACTGCAGTAATCTGAAAAAAATTCACAAAGTAGATAACAAATAAGATATGAAAATATTGCGCTGGCTTTTCTTACTTAAAGTGTTCCGGATAATTAAAAGGAACAATCAAAGGAGGGTATACTTGACATAAGAAAAACAATAAGTATATTTTATGATCAAGGATCATGAAAAAACAGATCATAAATTCCAGAGGGAAATATGAGAACAGATTTGTGGCATGTAAATAGTGTGTAACAGAACCTGATGCTTGAGGGTTTGTTTCCGTAGCTTCAATGTCTATCCTTCAATATTAACTGAATCAGCCATTCATCATGACAAATTTGAAAGGGAAATTCATTATTTTTATACCATCATTTTAAAAGTCCTAGATACAAGTAATTAAAAGGATACACCAGAACATATAATTACACTAGCTAGCACTTCTTTATGATTCGCCTTTTAACTGCTATGACTTATACACACTAGAGCTTCAAATACCGGCAAAATATATGCAATAATCACAACACCCTCCTCAAATGATCTCTCACAAATTCATTTGAAGCGAAACCTATTCCAACAGCAATGGGTCCCTTCACCCAATTCATACTTAAACCTTTAAAGAAACCACCTCTTATACCTTCCTCCCTGTAATAAGAACAGAAGAGACAAATTTGGAATGCAAAAAAATCATAATTCATGAATCAAAAGTAAAAAGTATTTCTGAAACTTACCGGTATATTTTACTCAATGAGCCAATTATGGTATCATAGTGCTCGCCAGTAACTGCAGCTGTTTGCATTCGTCTCCTTACAATATCAAGGGGATATGATCCTGTTTGGGCAATAGCACCAGCAATTGCACCACAGGCTAAGTTGATCAGTTGGCTGGGCTTTTCATCTCCAAGCCAAACTGGTCATGATAGATAGCATTAAAGGGTGCATTTACATAAGATTAGATAAAAATATAGATACTAGATAAATTCTTACCTCTATAGTGATGTTTGAGAGTATCATAGGTGAAAAAACTGAGTCCGGCATACGGTATAACTCCGAGAAGAGTTGGTAAATAACCGCGATAGAATGCTAAAATGCTTTCCTGTTGCCACATGACTCTAAAAACCTAGAAGAAAATGGTTTTGGTACAGGCAGGCATAAAAACCACATGCAAATAGTATTTGTTTAACATGTAATACACTTACAGATCTGAGAGAATTCAGCTCTCCTTTTGATGTCACAGCCATTCTTGCACGAGCTAAGTCTAATGGATATGTCAGGGACTGCGATGTAACACCTGCAAGTGAGCCGGCCAAAAATCTTTTGATGTGTGCATCCTCTGAGCTGTAACAAGCCAAAAGAGATTATTTTAAACCAGATAACAAATAGAGATTAAAATACTCAAATACATTAGCATAAGAAGTGTGTAATTTGAGTAATAAATTGACAACAAAAAAAAAAAACTTACTGGTCAATTGGAGAGGTAACATTTAAACCTAAAACTCTCTTCCATTGCTCGTGGGAAGTGAATTGAATTGCTCCATAAGGCACAATTCTTGCCATTGTAGCACTATTGCCTCTCCATAGCCCCACAATACCTTCTTTGTAAATTGTCTCCTGAAGGAACTTCACTACTCCCCTCACTGAGTAGGGCTCTCGATGAATCTAGGAAAGAGAAAATAGTTTGTTTTTTGCCCTTTCTTGAACAGATTAAGATATAAGCAGTTTGCACTATTCAAGTAGCACTCATTACCTGGAAATTAATTTTTGTTCTGTCTAAAGGAGCTATAGCAGTCTTGGCAATGGCACCCGCTACAGCCCCAGCTACAAGACCTGTCCATACTCTAGTTGTGTTAGATATCTAGTGGAAGGGGAATGAAAAATTAGAAAGATATTTAAGTATTTTAAAGTGTTGATGGAATAAAATGGAAAATATTAGCAAAATCCTCTCTACTTATTTGAACTACTGACCTCTGTCAACTTGATCTCTTGTGCGCCTGATGGCTCTTGTGGGCCTGATATATCTTCTGAAGGTTTGTCTCCCATAGTAGCAGTTCCATGGGAGGAAATGACTGACAAAGCTGAAGGAGATGGGGGCCTTCTCGCTACAGATGAACTGAATGGTGAAATGTTTGTTGAAGATGTGATGTTATGTGCAGGGATTGTGGTATAAGCTACGTCCACCATGTCTGCAGCTCACACTAACATCCTGCAAAAAAGCCAATATTACTTCAATAAAGGAAAAAAATCAGGATGATAAGGCATGCACATACAACAACTCCATGAAAATACTACAGACAACAACCAGTAGCTCCATATGTGTTGACACTGATGTGAAAGACTTTCTTAGAGGCTCTCTAGAGGATGGTAGTGGTGCGCGAGGGATCAAATGTTGGACCGACCAGCTCCGATCCGATAGCTAGATGCTGGCTAAGCTTACATCACGGTGTAAAGGGCACTCTCCTACGCAGGGTAGGCGAGGGAGCTTCAGTCTACAAGACTAAATGCAACCCGTATCTGGATTAAAAAGACAAGCGAAACACCTGCACGTGTTTTCGGACGAAGGTGGATCGTGCGATTGTATTGTGATCGTGTGAGTTGAGTTCAATATAACTCGGGTCGGCTAGCAAAACGCCAACACGTTCAGGTTCAGACGTATGTATACGTACAGTGTCTTTGAGCCAAGCTGTCTGCGGTCATCAGATTTTGGTTCAGGAATCCCTCTCTTCAAAGTGTTGATGCAGAATCACATGTCTCTCATGGACCAAGGCCGTAATTTGAAGGCACAGGGAACAGACAAACTTCCCTCGAATCGTGCACGGCCATAGAAACACTACTAAATTTGCACGCACACACACCCACTGTATGTGAAGGACTCGACGGACGACAACAACACACTCACACTACCGCACATCAACATATACATACACCAACACAAACGCGTTCAGGTAAGAACAGCCACCAACGCAACCGCAAGGGAACGTGTTACTAGGGTCGGTAAATAATATATACTTCACATGACTCGAACTAATAAGACGAAAGGTATCTGAAGCATGCTTCATAGGTTGAGCTAGTATAATTCAAGGGACATTTTGTAAATGTTTTAGTTTGCAAGAAAACTTTCTTGTTTGGCGACCTTGCCAAATCAGCTGCTTTGTTTTCTTCTCTACTCTGGGCAGGACATCGGGGCGAACGTAGCTTGAAATGTGCCATCCTGACTAAATCTGAATCTGAATTTGAAAGCAACTTCGTTGCTAGGCAACGGTAACGCCGTAACGCCGAGGAAGGGGGAAAAGGTGAATGGGGTGGAAGGGGTGCCCCCACTTTGTTCAGCTGGATTTACCCCCTCCTCTCCCTGCCTCCCCCCGCCTCCTCCACCCGCCGCCCGCGGCCCGCGGTGTCGGCAAGCGCGCGCTGTCCCTCTGCGAGTCAAACCGAAGGCTCAACTCGTTCAGTCTTCAGGCGACCCACCACGGGTGAGACCACTCGACGCGTCAGGAGCGCCCGTGTTTCGTGTGACAGTGATCTGTTCGTCCTGAGTTTCGCGACCTGTGCTCAGCGTGCGACTCAAGTGTATCGGGCCGACATCTCTGTGTCATTGTTCAATCGTGACCGGCTTGTCCGCGGCCCGGGGGGCCGACCGTCCTAACCCTGTTGAACACGTCTCCACCCACCACCGGTGTGAGCGCTCCAAGAGTCCGACCCTAATTTGGGGCCTTACAGTCGAACTAGTTATGTGAGCTGCCATTCCTCTGCTTTGCATCGTTCAAGGTGAGTTCTGGCTGTTTGGATGAGGCAGATAGTGCAACAGTCGCTGCATAGTTTGTCTAAGAATAAATCAAACACCACCGGTGCAATTAAAATAATTTTCTTTGTCTGAGACGTTTGAAATGTATGTCTGGTTGACGATGAAGCAAAGTGTCCATAGTATGGTTTGATCGCTATGTGCGCACTACCAGATTAATGAATAAATAAATTCTTGCACTAGGCTTTATGCCCTTACTTGTAAGAAAATACCATTTTATTTCCTTTAAAACTATTTTTGTGTTGTTTAATTGATTCCAGGGGCCAGAATGAATTATATTCTTAATTTATGCTTGCTACGGATCCTCCTCCCCGCCGTATTAACCACATGTAAGTAAACATTTTACTAAAATAAAATTCTAATCACCTCATGAAATGGTTTTTACTACTGTGCAGTACGCCAATATTTTTGATGTCTCTTGGCTCTGGATTTTGACCAACAGTGTAGAGGAGTGTTTCATTCCTGTTCTTTAATTTTGAAAATCACACTTGTCATGAATCAACAAATTTTCATTGAAGGCAGCTCGCAATGAGAATTTATATCCTTGTACAATTTTTTGTTTTGTGTTTTGGAGCTTTTGTTTCTGTAAACATGGGCTAAAATTGAGGGTATGGCAGAAAAATTTCAGTGCACCCTTGTCGCACTCATTAATCATTTTTTTTTTATTTATTTATTATTATTATTCTGCTGGTAGGGCAGTAGGGTAGTGTGGCGCATGGCGGAGGGGCTCGTGGTCGGTGTTGACCTGGCAGCAAGCTGGCAAGGTGACCACGCCCCCTTGAACCCCCGCCCCCGTCCCTCCCCTATACGTGGGGCGCGGTTTCCGCCGCTGTCCAGTCGGTGATGCGCGGAGAATCGGGGCCGAGGAGCCAGTTGGGAAAGGGGGAGGGGGGCGTCCGTAACCGGCGTCGCCAGGATAACGCGCTTGCTGGGAGTGCGCCCCGTCCCCCCTTTGCCAACAGACAGAACCCCCTTATCCGGAGAACGTGATTTAAGTACGCTCCCGCACACCTACCCCGGGCTGGGGTTCCCGCCGGCTCCGGACAAAGGGGACGGGAGGGGGAGAGGAGCAGGGTTGGGTTGGCGGTAGGGGAGGGGTTGGCGATAGGTTGACGGGGCAGGGGAGGCAGGGTGTTTCTGCTCAGCGCAGCGAGCCTATGCTTACTCGGACCCCTCCCCTCTGCACTCTCAACCTCCA